AATGTTGAAGAGCCTGTACACCTAATTTTTATTGGGTTCAGACGATCCAACATCTATCCATAAATTCAAATCAAAATTCGGATGAGTCAAAGAATCGTCCTCGTTGGAGAGCCTGTACACCTAATTTTTATTGGGTCCAGACGATCCAACCTCTATCCATAAATCCAAATCAAAATTCGGATGAGTCGAAGGATCGTCCCCATATCTCTCTCTCAATTGGCTATTATAGGTTTTTTGAAAATGAAAAAAGTAATCATCATATTCAATTCAATAAAAATAATAACTTAAAAATAAAATGGTTGAACAAACATACCATAAATTGTTAAGCATGGTTATCAACGAATTGTTGTGCCCCTTTTTAGTGGTCTTGACTCCGCACGTGCATTTCAACAAACAACTTTATCGGGCTCAGCTCACGTCCAAGAGACGTAGCCTATAATGAGAAAATTAAATTAACAAAAAAATTAATTTAATGATATATTTTATTTAAATTAATCTTACCATCCATTTCACACGTGCAGTAAAAAGAATGGAGCCTCCTATATGCGTTGTCACCGAGCCATGAATTGGCCGATTCTGGTTGCCAGCACCGGATTGTGAGTGTCATGTGAACTGCTTAGATGTCACATGCTTAAAATAGTGTGACCATATATCTGCTGGGATGTATATCGATTTGAAATCCCTCCAAACCGCTGTGTCGTTCTAGCCTTGGAGACCCTTATCTCTCGCCCTTTTTTTTGCCTTGTTTTGTGCTTCATTCCAAAAATCACGCAACCTACTTTTATAGCGAGAAATTAGATTTTGAAACATAAATTCTTTTCTAAAAAAAATATTGTATTGTTTTCGATATTACCTAATTGCTATGTGATTTTCCCACACCCTCCTCACAGTAGTGTCTTGCGCACTGTCTCAGTTTTCTATGTATAAATAATTAATTTTAAATAAAAATAATAATTTATTTATGATTATATTAATAATTTATTAGAAATAAGGTGGAAATTAGAAATTAACATCAATCTCAAATGTGTCAAACCATTCAAGATGTCTGGATACCTGACTCCATTGAAATAATGGAATCTTCATTGATGATTTAAACGTCGATGATATTATTCAAGCGGCCTCAATGTTTATGAACATGAAAATAAATTAAATTAATAAAATATTAATTAGTTGTTCATAAATTATGTTATAATTTAAAAAAAAAACTAAAATATTAACAAAGTTACATTGAAAGGTTGTCCTACTATTGTGCTTCGTACTTGCAGGTGAATTGATTTCACTGTGAAAGCACACCGCCTCTACGCTGTGAAACCGCGCTAGAAGAGACAGCATCTGTTGATGACACAAATGTCTTTTTTTGAGAGGCACCTAAGGATATGTCATCCTCGCTGCTAGAAGAACTGAATGCTACCATACATGAGCGACGAGTTGTGAATTTCATTCTACACATCTACATAATTTTATATGAATAATTATTTAATTAGATTCAAATGTTAAAACAATTCGACAGCACATTCCCTATACTAGAGACTACCCAAATTCACAAACCTGCAAATATTGATAATAGCCATAACCAATTGACCCCATTTATATTAATATTATATATAACGTAACATCTTGCAATACAACAATAAAATATTTTCAATAAATTCAAAAAACTCTAGACTAACAATTAAAATTAATGGAAATAATTAAACACAAATCATGTCATAATAGAGTAAAATTACTAACTATCATAACCTATTCAATTACTAAATCTAAGGCAAACTCAACATTAACAACTATAATTCAACAAATTATTCAATTATTATGGAAATACAACAATAAAATATATTTAAAAAATTCAAAAACAAATATAGACTCTATGAATGAAATATGTTGATCTTAATAATGTGTTTATTTCAAAACATTATCTACATTACAAAAATATACCAAAAAAAATAGCAAAAATGAAAATAGCTAAAACAAAGAAAAAAAATACTTAAAGTAAAATGAAATAGAGGAAACACATACCATTTAATTTGATGAAGATTCAACCAGAGATTACAAGAAAAAAAAATAAAAATATTTAAGGAATGATCTTAATAATGTGTTTATTTCAAAACATTATCTACATTATAAAAATATACCAAAAAATAGCAAAAATGAAAATAGCTAAAACAAAGAAAAAAATACTTAAAGTATAATGAAATAGAGGAAACACACCATTTAATTTGATGAAGATTCAACCACATATTACAAGAAAAAAATAAAAATATTTAAGGAAATGAGAGGGAAAAAATCAAAACTTAAAAGGGATTAACGAAAATGAAAAAATGAATTGAAGGGGCGGTCGCTGGGATTTATAGCACAGTTTTACTAACAGCTTCACCCATGGAAATAAAAAAATATTATTTTAAATTATTTTATTGGTGAAGTTTTGAAACTCCGTTGGTGAATTTTGAATTTCGCACCATCATTTTTAATTACCCTCCATATTTTTCACAGTTTGTCGGTAATTCCATCGGCAAGTTGACGTGGTCAGAGATGTATTTAATGCACTGTCTTTGGAATTTGCACAATCTGTTGATGATTTTGTCGATAATATTGTACTAGATTGAAAAGTCATTGGTATTATATGACGATTTTCTAAAAAATTTTGTTAAAATTAAAATTTTAAATTAAATATTACAGATGAAATCACTGATGAATTGAAAATTTGTTGGTGATATTTGGCGGTTTCTGAAAAGTTTTTATTAAATTAAATATTTAAATTAAATATTAAAAACAGAATCACAGACGAAATGATTAAAAATATTAATATTTAATTATTTGGCCGTAAAATCATCAGTAAAAGTCCTCAATAAAAAATATAGAATCCCTAATTTCGTAACAGACGGAGCTCCTTTCTTCTTCTTTTTTTCTTCTTCTTCTCTATATGTAAAAAACATCAATATCCATTTATTTCTCTTCTCTTCTCTCCTTAACTCTTTCTCTTCTTCTCCATGCTCAAGTATGTATTCTTCTCATTTCTTCTTTTTTCTTCTTAGTTTTTTTTAATTAATATACTTTAGAATTTTTTTTCTTTTCTTAACTTCATTTGCAGCCACATTAATATAAGATTTTTCTTCTTCTTTTCCATGTTTTTTTTTTCACTATTTTTTATTTTATTTTTAATTGTTTTTGTTCTTAATAATTGTATGAATATTGTTGTAGGATTTTTTTTTCATAAGATTTTCTTCTTCTTTTTTCCCAGCGTTTTAAATATTATAGAGTGTTGATTTATATTAATTTAATTATTTTATAGTTTTGTAAAATGGATGTTTAAAAAAATATTTTTAAATAATTACCAATGAAATTACATGTGGAATTACCAAAGGAAATACCGACGGAATGAAGTGGATATTTGTTTTATAAGTCTTTTCCATCAGTTAATCTATCAGTAATAATATTTTTTTAATTACCAATGAACTTACTAACAAACAAAAAATTACCAACAAAAAATTCATCGACGAAACATTTTCATTTGTGATTTTGTTGGTAAATTAATTACCAACAGAATAAAAGTACATATACCAACAAAAAATTCCATCAGTAAATCTAAAGATTGTGCTAGTAATATGAGATTTTCATGCAGGTCAGTTTAGTATACATTTCTTATGACAAACACCTACATATTAGTTTAATGTATCTCTTATACCTTAGATTATGAGAACAATTGCTTTCTTCTTTTCATATAGGAAATAATACATATATATATATATATATATTAATGAATCTAGAATAAAGATAAAATTTATGAGAAAAATATTTTGCAAGAAAAATAATAAAGTTATTATAATTATAAGATTTTTTATTATATCAAAATATTATTTTTAAAATATTTTTTGTCATTATTTTTTTAAATACTGAATATTTATTAGAGCATATTTATTATAACAGTAAAAACTGATATGTATAACTTTCATGACATATTAAACTCTTACAATGATAGGTCTAGGTAATTACATGATGACTATGGCTTGAATTTTTTATAAAAGTATCTTAAATTATTTTTTTAAAATACATGAAAGTTCAGTGGCCTCATGATTCTTTATAAAAGTAGCTTAAACTATTTTTTAAAACAAATGAAAGTTCAGTGGACTCATGGACTGTTTGCTGTTATGGTGGCTCAAGGACCAGGTACTTTTATAATTTTTTTTATTGGGGATATTTGGGATAATTCAAACATATTTTAATTAATTTTTAAAATTAATAATTATATAAATTTTTACTGATCAAGTTTATATCATTTTAACTTTTAACTAGTAATTTCTAAAAAGCAAATTAGTAAAAATCGCAACTCTTCCTATGACAAGGGATTGATCACTCCGCTAAAAAGTCCAGTAGAAAACCATAGACCAAGGAAGAATATATTTGGTGCCAAATTCTCTTGTTGATAGACTGTTCAAAGGAGTTAGAACTGGGGAAGGTGAGGTGGTACATTTCATGATTTAATGCACTAAAGTTCAACTTTAAAGAAAAAATCGAAGTCATAGAGGAAACGAAAGCAAGATGCAAGTAATAAGGGAAGGCATGAGGCAGCTAGAAATCATCTATCAAGAAACAAAAGGCTATGGTAATATAATGCATTAGAAGTCAAAAGCAAAGAGATACGAAAGATTAAACCAATCCCTTGTTCATATACTATCCTCTTACAACCTCACTACATCACTCAAAACACAAAATTCTGTCCAGCTACCAGACAAAATCTCAGAGGCTGCCCCCCTATTTTTTTTTTTACTTTCACTTTCCCCTCCCTTCCTAGAGAGCAGACAACAAAAAGGGAAGCTCAGAGTTCTACTACCTCCCTGGCTTCTACTTTCAAATACCTCCATAGGACATAACATACCACCATATTGGATTTGGATTTGATAATTAATGCAAGCAACAGCTAAAGAGTACCATTACATGGACATGGGACCCGTTTTACAAAATGACAAAATTGATGATAGTGATGATGTGATGGTGTTGATGGACTAGATAATAATGATGATTAATTAATTAGGAGTAGGAGGAGACGACAGTAAGCTTGGTTTCGAATAGTGGTTGAAGAACTTTTTCACTATTCTAGAAAGCCAGTTTTTGTCAGAATAGCGTTCCTTACTTTACTGAGATCTCTCCCCTTGAGTGTCCTTCCAATCCCTTCACACACAGAGAAGGAAGAGATTTGACTCCTTGCAAGCTTCCTAGCTAACCACTCATGTGGAGGCACTATGTCATCATCACCACCCTCATCATCATTGATATGATAATCTCCATCATCATATGCAGTACCGTTATGATCAGCCCATGAGCCCATATTCCTTGAGCTTTTCCCGTAAATTTTTGACCAATCAGGGATGTTCATAGGAGCTGATGACTGTTGTTGAACTACTTTGCCTCCATGGTTTGTTGGAGATGGCTTTGTTGATGGAATCATTCTTGGAGCAGTAGTAGGGATATGCCATGCAGGAGAAGGAGAAGAAGAAGAACCTGAAGAGGGGTACTTGGAGTTAGAACTTGAATCTCCAATCTCCTTCATGACTGACCAAACATCTTCTTCTTCAAAATCTTCATCTCTCATTGATCTCCTAGTGCCATAGCCACCAACTCTACCACTTCCCTTGCCCATGACACCACACCAATCTGCCATAAGCACTAAAAAACGACAAAAAAAGGAATCAAAGTAAGTTCTTTAGAAATCAAAATAGAGATGGTGAAAGGACATGAGCAAAAATTGAAGTTTACTTCTACGAATATATAAATAAATAAGGTAAAAGGGAGGTTTCCTTTTCTTTTTCTTCCTTTTATCTTTTGGGTTACTATTAGTTAGCTCTCTTTTGTTTTGTTAACAATAAAGAGATGGATAATACAGAGTTATTTTTATTGGGAATCAGGAATCTACCTTACCTCAGTTTCAAAACCCTCCAACTGAGTTTTTGAAAAGAAAATCTAAAATGGGGTGACACAAGAAACTTGAACTAGGACAAAAGAGGAAAACCTGTAGCAAGACCTCTTCTTTTTTTCTGTAGCTAAAATGGGATAGATCCAAAGAAAGTCACAGGCTTCAATGGCATCAAACTTTTACAGTTCCTCATATGGGAAAAAGAGAGAAAAAGACAGCAAAAAAAATGGGGGGGTTTCAGCTTTAATGGCCTATAGAACCATATTCCTGATATGGGAAAAACAATTTTAAAGCAGCAAAAGAAAGTAATAATAATGGGTTTGGATTACCATCTTAATAAAGTGGCACTGTGGTTCAACCGTAATTTTAAAGATTTTTGTAAAAAGTTTTAGTTTTAAATTACTTTTATATATATTTCAAAATATTTTTTTGATGTAAAAATAAATTTTAAAAAAATAAGAAAATATTTTAAATAAAAAATATTTTTATAAAAACCTGATAATTTTTTATCCTCACACTCGAAATGGTCACTGTATAGTTTGCTTCACTACTAAAATCCAAACGCCCCACACAAACCAATATCAGCCAGTCCTAGAAATTGGTTTTGAGAGCTGTTAAGAGCAAAATCAACAGAACAAAAGTCATGTTAGGTCACAATTTACCACCTATGGATAAGAATAGATGTTTCTTGATATAGGGTTTATGATTATATTATTAAAAAATTAATTTAATATAATAATTTAAATTATTAAATTAGATTTTAAAATATAATTTATATTATTCTTATTAATGTGAATATACATGCAAACATTTATTTGATGTTTTGGCTATATTTAATGATAATTTAGGAATTAATTTAAAAATGAATTTCAGTGTGTTTATAATTGATAATTCATAAAATAATTATTAATTTTTAAATAAATTTGGATGATTTTAAGAATGCAGGAGTGATGACGTAAACAAAAACAACAATCACTACGAACGACAGAACTTATTATTAATTTTTGTTTCTAATGTCATTTATCTATTTAAAAAATCTATAAATGCTTAATTAGTTCATAAACTAACCTTTACAGGGTAAGGGTAAGAAAATCAGAATTATAAATTAAATATGAAAGACAACACAAAATTCAAAATTAACTTAAAATTTTAAAAAATTAATGAGATTAGCTCAAGCAACATATTTCAAGCGTAATTTAAAAATCCTCCGAATCTGGACTGATTAAAGGCTAAATCTTCTGAATCTCGGCTAGTTAAAGCTAGCGTTTCTGCATGATTCAATCATAAGAGATTCACAAATGATTGTTCATGAGTATCATATTGTCCAAATCCACTTATATCAAATAGATTTAAAACAAACTATGTGGAAGGAAACTAGACTAGAAATGAAATTAAAAACCAAACTATGAGAAGGAACATATTGATTTTCGTAATCATCTCATGTGCACAATGAATGTGAACACAAATAAAGTTACTAAATACCAATATATATGCAGCAAAATAATATTTCATTAGATAAATTGAGCAGTATTTCTTTGTTGTAAGCAAAGGAAAGGGTGGATTTTGATTGGGAAAGATGGTGAAGGTTAATTGGTTAGAGCAGTGCCACAAGTTTCAGTAAAACCTTATCCTCTCTAATTTACTCAAAGGGCAGTACAACCCCTACGGCAACCTCATGAGGCAGTTACTCTCACAGCACAGAGCCCAGTAGCAGTAACTAGTATAAGAAAGTGTGAAGCAGCAACCTTTTTAAAGAGTACACAACTGCCTAGGAGGAGGGATGGAGGAGAGTTATAGAAGCGCTTTTATTAGTTGGCCAGCAGCAATATTATTGCTGTTGTTGCATTGAGATATGTGGTGAGGTGGGTTTTTAACTGTTACTCGAACTTGTATCTATCCAATATCTATCAGTACTTCCAGTTTTCAAAGCTTCCTGGGTTTTTGGGATTGCATCAGATAGCATAGAGATTGAGAGAGTGTTATTCTTGTAGTTGTATTAGAGTGAATTGTGTTTTATTCCCTGTATTTTACCCTTGATTATAACTTAGTCCATTAGCTATTGTTGGTCTCTGTTTTATTGAAACATACACGGGGTTATTTTTTTCCAGTAAAACCCAATTGTGACCTTTAAAAAAAAATTTCCAGTAAAATTATAACTTAGCCCATTAGATTGATTCTAGATTTAATTTACTTAGCCAAACTCTAAAACAGTCTTTTTTGGACAAAAAAGATTTAACAACGTGATTAGCATGTTAACTCAAGAATCTAGTAATTCTAGTCATAAATTAAATTAAATAACGTTCAAGATTAAGTTTCACAATTATGATACAATACAATGGAGGTTAAGTGATAAAGCAGTAAGTTTTAAATCTTGATTGGAAACGTGGTTGAAGCCATGTTTATTAAAAAATTAATTTTTTTTGTTTAAAGTTAATTTTTATATATATATTTAAATTATTTTGAAGTATTGTGTCAGAAATAATTTTTAAAAAATAAAAAATATATTATTTTAATATATTTTTAAATAAAAATTACTTTAAAAAATAATCATTATCACCCAATCAAATACCTGTAAAAGAATTGTAACGGTCACTCGGCAGGAGTGAGGGACTAGTTTTATAGGTTTCTAAACATGAAGAAGTAAAGTATAATTACAAACAGGCAAATACAAGTTAGGTCAGGGTCAGGGAGGTGTCTTCTCAACTAAAATCAGAAGGATCTATTGGATAATGACTTGAGAGAAATGTGTGGGTCAACGGTTAATTTGGTTTCACCATGGACAAGTATGTGAATGTGATCCCATTCTAACGATAGATTTTTACATGCCACAAAGTTACCCATTCCACTTCCAAATCTTACCCCATCTTTTCTTGTCGTTCTTCCAGTACAATTCTTTTCCCTCTTTATTCTCTCGGTGCATAGCTTTGCTGTTAAACTCGATCTTATCCGTAAATTAATTTAAAAAACTTAGGATTCAAAATTTAATTTGAATAGGACTTTTTTGTTGAATCAGATGATATATTGATTTGAAAAAATTCAATTGATATAATTAAATTTTTAGTGGTATAATTAATTTTACTTAACTTGATTCAAATATTACTGGGTTAATATCAAAATAATGTTATTTTAATAAAAAAGATTTGCATAATTAATTTAAAGATTCAATGACTTAAATATCTTTTCATATCAATCTTGTAATAATATCTACCAACTATTATAAGTAAATTTAAAAAGTGTGTAGAATTTATTATGTACAATATAATGTAAATTTCCTTGCATAACATTATCAAGAATTTATTATGTACAATACAATGTAAATTTTCTTGCATAACATTATCAATCCATTCCTCAGAAGGATTTTTTTTTTTTTTTTTTACATAGCCTTTGTGAGATCAAACTACGGGCCAATTTAAGCTAATTTGTTAGAGGAGGGTGAGAATGAGAGAAAAATAACCTAAAGTAAAACATATAAGGGTAATAGATGGTGTTTTTAAACTTTTAGTGAAATATTTATTTTATCCTTAAAAAAACAACAAACCAATCAACTGGGTTTCTTTAGCACCGTCACAAAGGTTTATTTGGCATTTCATAATTTAATAGGGGCAATTACATCTTTTCATTTTATAATACATAATGAAAATACCCTTATGCCCTTTGATTAAAAAATATTCAAAGCTTACATTCAGGGACATTTTTGTTTTTTTTTGTTTTTAATGAATAGATAAATTTTCTATGTTTTACATTTAGAGGCATTTTTATATTTGACATCATATATTTTTTTAAAATTATTAGGTTGGCTTAAGGATAATTGTATAATTTAATATATAAAATTATTATAAAAATTATTGATGTATGTAACGCATGTGTCAGCACATATGAGATTGCTTGTTGGTTAAATACCATCTTTTACTATGACATTTGATTGATCATATCATCGCCTGTTTAAGGAGACCATGTATGTGATCAAGTGTTGTCAAGTTTAGCACCAATAATTTTTTTTTTTTATTCTTCTCTTCTCCTTTGAAATATACACTTAATATTTAAAATTTCAAGATAGTCCTTTTGATTGGGATATTTAAATATCAATCCTTAATTTTTTTATTTATAATTTTTTTCCATAGTTTTTTTTTGTAAGTTTTGGATTTGTTTTTAATTTAATTTTTCAATATAAATTTTTAATTTTTTAATTTTTAAATTTATTTCTGATTTTTTTTGCCTTTATTTTTTCTTGCCTCTTTTATAAAACTTTCAATTGTGTTTAATTTTATCCTTTAATTAAAATTTTAATTTTTAATTTTTTTAAGATTTCATCCTCATTTTTTTAGTGGTTTCTTCTTTTAATTATTTTATGTAATTGATTTTTCTTTTCAATTTAGCTCTTCAATCTAAAATTAGTCATCCTTACATTTTTTTAATTTTAAATTTGATCTTTTTATTTTTATTTTGAATCTCCTTTTGTCATTGATTTATTTTTATTATTTAGCATTTAATTTATTAAAATTTAGGCTTCATGATTTTTTTATATTTGGTATTTCCTATCAAATGGCCTGTGTTACAAGTTTTATAAGCTAACACGAGTTCATATTATTTTTTTTACTTATTTTTTATCTCAATACTTGATATTGATTTTTTAAAAGGATTCATGGCTTTATTTATATTGTTATCTTAATTTCATGACTTGTCCTGTATGTTTGGCAGGTTAATTAGAGTGAGCTCATGCCTTCTTATTTTTTTTTTTGTTAATTACCACCTTTTCTTTTGTATTCTTTTATTTGATTGATATTAAAAAAAAATTTGATATTTGATTTATTGAAAATTAATTTTCATAATTTTTCTAATAATTAATGTTTTTGATCAAATGGTTCAGAATAAAGTTCGACATCAGTTTTTTAAGGACATATTATATTTTTTAATCTCATGATTCTACATTAGTTTCCTTTGAAAATAGGGTTTAATGATTTTTTTTATTCTTTTTAATCGGGTTATCTTGATCTTATAATTAGATTTGTGGGTTGGTAAGTTGACTCAAGCAAAAAAAAAATTAGTATTTTTTTTTATTTTTAATTACTATTTTTATTTTATATTATTTTATGTAATTAATTTTTTTTAAAATAATTATTTGATATGTAATTCGTTAGAGCTTTCAATCAAAACATCGGTGCAAGGATTCACTTCAATTTTTGTGGACTTTTTTTTTCCATCTCATGATTGGACATTGTTTTTTAAAAATAAATTAAATTTAATGATTTTCTTCATTTTCCAATACATCTCATTTCTTTACTTTGTTTTTTTTCCCTTCAAATCTAAACAAATCTAAGCTCCTATTTGGGTCTCAAGTCGATTTGACCGGTCGATCTCGATTTTATAATTACTATACAGTATAATAAGATTTAGCCTATCAAACCTGACGAAACTACAAGGATCTGGTCCGCTTTAATAGTTTAAATTATCATTAAACGAAACGTGGCTATGGACTAATAAACTTCATTCTAGTGATATAGAACCAAGATTTACGTTTCATGTGCCGTGGAAGTGTCATTAATTGAGCACTGTACACACTGAGGCCTTTAATTATCCATTTCTAGTTCAGGCAACAGTGCTTTATCCTGTTCTAGATGCATCTGTTTTTGTTCCAAGATCTAGTTTCATGTTCCAAGAATACCTACCTACTCTTGCCCTATGATAGGTGAGCTGCTCTTTTTTTTTTTTTTTTTCCAATCCAACCTTATATTTTTTTACGATTAAGTCGAAAATAAGGTTTTTTTTTTTGTTTTTCGAGGTAGGATATAAGGAAGTAAAAATAAATGCTTAAAGTTTTCGAGTGAATCTTTTTTCATTTAAGAATAGGAAAGACATACGAACATGGCTTCCTGTCCTCATTATTTCTGGTTTTTTTTTTTTAATCTCAAAATAATAATCAAACATTATCTAAGATATAATACCATGTTCACTGGATATATTTAAAGAAATTTAATCAATTTTATTGAATATTGGCTAAAAAATTGAATGAAAAAATAAAAAATATATATTTTCCTATTCATTCAATCATAACTTTTAGGATTTAATCATTCTGGATCAATGCTCAAAGTCAGTGGGCTCCCAAACTGTTTTAATATAAAAGGTCCCGATCCAAACTTAAAATTAATTAATTGATAAAAACAAAACAATCCCCCCTGAAAAAATATTAAATAATTAGGCGTGTGGCTGCTGGGATTCGAGCCCAGGTCTCCACGGCCACAACGTGGAATTCTCACCACTAAACTACAGCCACTTTGTTGTGCGGGTAAGTCAATATAATGAGAAGTAGCTTTTTGTCATTACAAATTATCGAATAAATTTAAATCAATAGATTTTTCGAATCTGCTTCACATAATTATGCTTATTTGTGTATCCATCTGTAGCGACCTGAATCTTGAGTTTGTGATTGGTAATCTTGAGTTTGTGATCGCTAATGCAGGAGTGATGGGATGGAACATCTCATATATATTAAGTTTTAATATATATAATTTTTTAAAATTAATAGAACAATTTATAATATCAAATACTTATTATATTATATAAAATTAAAATTTTAAAATAAAAATCTAGATTTTAATGAAAACAACGTAACAATAGAGCGTATAAGATATTAAATAACAAAAAATAAAAAAAAACTTTGTGGAAGCAGGTAAGACATATTAATAAAGAAAGTAATAAGAATTTTCAATCAAATATCAACTTGCTAATAAGAGTTAATAACTTCAAAAAAAAAATATTAAAAAGAAGAGGTGAGTTTCACCAACTTAATAAGAAAATAACATTTAATATATATTTTAACTATATATAAATATAATGACTAAAACATACACACACACATAAAGAGACACACAAATATTAAACATAATAACATATAGTAATAGAATACATGTCACAGATCAACCAAAGCTATTTATTTATATAAAAGATGAAACTCTAATGTTCCACTAACATATGAGGTTTGCAACCTTGATCATTACATGTGGGAGGATTAGTCGTCACATACTGGTATCTTTTTCGTTAATTAGTCGTCACATACTGGTATCTTTTTCATTAGTTAGATATATAAAATACTATGTGCACATAAATTAACTACTCTCTGTTAGTATAAAGTTACTGACAAGTTCGATATCAAGACATAATAGATATTTACATAATTATTAAAAAAAAATGTCATATCAAACAAAATTTAATTCAATAGACTACGAATATAAAATTTAAGAGTAGATGAGTACTCAGATAATAAAGTAACATATATAATTATTAAAAAATTAATTAATTGCACTCATTATATAATCAACATACCCATATTATTTACATTACATGCATATTAAATATTATTTCATTAACCAGAAAAACAAAAACAAAAGATAAACAGATGTAGAATTGGAAACTACTAAAGATGGTTTGGAGGAATCTCAATAGAACCTATAACGGATACATAAAACACTAAAAAACCAATCAAAGCAAAAATAACATAAAAAGATTAAAACTCTAAATTTAGAAACCAAAATATAATTATAAAACCGACCTAATTCACCCAATCAATCCCAAATATAATCCAAAATGTTTGATCCTAACAGGCCTGATTAACCATTACTGTTGGGTCAACTAGTCAATTGAAATGTCCAAAAGATTGATTGCTATTACAAGCCAACCAATCAACTAGTTTATACTAATTGGTCGATCGGAAGCATAACCCAATCAGTTGATTGGTTAAGACCAACCACTCAACTAGTTGATCGAGATTTTCATAATCATGATTTGCTAGTCTTCAAAACTGCATATTCCTTAACAATCAATTTATTCATTTAAATCTCATAATTTTAGTTCTTAATCAGTTTGTTTTAAGCTAAAACTAACACCCTAAACTTGAATTAAAACTCTTAAATCATTCCATCATCGAATCATAATAAAACCCTAAACTCTTCTTTAATCCTCCAACCATCGATCCCTAATAAAAAATAACAAAATAGAGAATCACTTACACGTTACTTTAACCCTTTTCTAAACCCAAAAGCTTAAGTTCCAGAGGTGAAATCTCTAGATATTGGGATGGAAGTCATGATAAAAAAGGGAAAAAAAGAACGAGGTAAAGAAAATTCTTTTACAACCTTTTCTTTAAATACATAGGTTAATAGGGTTGAGTTTGAACTTAATTTTGAACATAGTTTCAGGAATACAGGTCTTACAAGAGGCTCAAGCTAATATAGAAAAATTTATTTTGGAATAAAGACATTAACACATGATGTTAGGCAAACATTAAAATATAGAATTTAGTGCTTGCTTGATATTATGGTAACTTCTACTTTTCAAATTAATATTTTTAGATGTTTTTTTAATGATTTTGATGTGTTAATATTAAAAATAAATAAAAAATTCTTAAAAAATATTTTAATATATTTTTAATTAAAAAATATCATACACCACGTTACTAAGCATATATATAAAAAATAACATCAAGTGTTATTTTGAACAACAATACAAAAAGCAAATTATAAGATACTTGAGTACCTTATCAACAATGTTTTAGCTGGACTATCCAAAACCATGGAATCATTTATACTTTTTATCTCCTTGGCCAACTTGAATTTGTCATCATTTTTATGCCAATATAAAAAAATCAATTATTATTTTTTTTTGAAAAAAAGGAGATTTTGCATGTATATTTTCAAGTGCTAACACTTGACGATTAAAGTGAGATGATTATTAATCAGGGCATAACATGCTCGACTTATTGGGATCAAGAGCTGAATAATAATTACGTGGGATCCAAGTAAGAGACTTGAATGGACAAAAATCAACTTATAGAAAGCTTGTCTACGGATCATTAAATAAAAGAAACCATTCCCTACCATCCGAAAGGGATCCAGCCACTTGATTAACAAATCTTGATGATAGGATAAGCAAGGCAGACATTAATTCCCTTTCCTTCCATGCTTTTTTTTTTTTTTCATTTTTCTCTTCCATGGGATTATAATTAGTCGGTTTTTAAATCATGATGATAAATGAGAGAGGGTTAACTCAATGGTCATGTTATGCTTTTGATATGGCCTTGATATATGGTTTTACAGACAGGCAAAAAAAAAAAATAAATTATTTGATCTAATCAATTTAAATTGTGAACCGATAAAAATCTAATTTAACTTTTTAATTTGTTTTTCAAAACAAGGTTGATGATTTTCTAGATCATTGCAATTCAACCCAAAACCTACATCACTAGTTAGATCAGGTTTTAATAACTTTCACCCTACAAGTCATTTAATTTCAACATGATGATCTACCTTTGATCTTGATGCATATGAAAATTGAAAATCGATTCAAAATACAAAAAATTTGTTAGTCTTAGACGAAACTTGCACCCCAAAACACTCCCGCCCACCCCGTCTCCAGCCCACAGTCAAGTCACAGAAAAGCATCCCCACCAGTTTTTGGTCGCTTCAATGCCAGCCAAAAAGGATGCATCTTTGATGGCTAGCTATTATGGCAAACTTGGTGGTTAACATGTATGGCAAGCTGTCCTTGCTAACCAGGGCTCTTCACCTTTGGCAGGGTATGATGTTTCGATCAGTTGCTTCAACTTGTCAACAGTGACATTTAATCTCCACAATTACACAGAAGTGGCAGCATAAACGCAACATGAAGACTTGAACTTTCATAGAACAAATGTTGAGCAGGTACTTTTCATGTGAAAGAGATGCATTGGCCTTATTTGGGCTCCATGGCTCTTAATTTCAAACCTTTAAGAGCAAAACTTTCTTTCCCATAAATGATATTAGATGACTTGTATGATGTGTTAATTGCATTGTAATTAAACGCAGAAAAAAGATGCATCTCATGTCAGGAATTCGAACCCGCGTGACAATGGACAGATTACGGTTGTTGGTGAAGGACCACCACCGTTGTGCAGACTTCAACCAAGTATGGGTTAAGTTAAATTGTATTATAACCTATGGTTTTGTGTCCATTTTTTTCAAGCTCTAAATTGATATGGCCTAGCATATTATTTGGAGCGGGCAACTTATGTGCAAGTAATTATGCTTTAGAATGATAACAAAAAAAAGCCACTAAACCTGTACAAACTATGGAACTGGATTGAGTTGCTCTCGCTCTCATGGCCTAACTAATATCCTGTGTTCACTTGCGTGCTGAATGGTAAAGCTCGAGTAATCGAGAGCAGGTTTATTCCAAGACCAGTCTTGCTCCATCACTTTTTTACATAACAAGTTAAACCAATCCTGACCATCATACCAAGCAGAGATTGCCCTGAAAGATTAATTGAAAAACAAATATTAATGAACAAAATATATTATGTAGACAAGCTTGCATATGCACGAGCATGCAAGCTACAACAGGCGAGGGAGCTTAATTGAAAAATAAATATTAATGAACAAAAAGAGATTGCCCTGAAAGATTAATTGAAAAATAACTATTAATGAACAAAATATATTCTGTAGACAAGCTTGCACATGCACGAGTACGCGAGCTACGACAGACGAGGGAGATTAATGTCATCAAAACATTGTACAGTGTCCCAGTCAAAACTCTGATCATTTCTTCTTCACATGTTCAAGAATAAATATGAAATTACAAAACAAAAATACGATGGCAAAAGAAGTTTTCTGTGATGAGGAAATTTATTGAAAAAAAACCGAGAGAATTGATAATTGGTTTGCATACGTACTCCAGGAACTAATCGTTAGTAGCAGATGTAAAATTACCCTTGCAACTGGGGCTATTTCAAAAGCAATATGCACAATGTGCATTGACGGTTCTTTCGCAATTCCTGATAATCCATGCCTTCCCTATTGTAAAAAACTCCACCATCTTCCTTCTCAGAGAATACCAAATCCATCATGTATGCATCCAGTGGAACCTTGACTGCAAAAACACCCTAAATTCAGGGAATACCAAATCCATCATGTATGCATCCAGTGGAACCTTGACTGCAAAAACACCCTAAATTAAACCTTTCTTTTCCTGAACAAACCCACGACATCATTTGTAAATTACGTTGTTTCTCTTAGTCAGCAGGAAACAAAAGCAAGTGATATGTACTGACATGATATGCCATCACACTTTACACCTTTAAACTTGAACTCAATGCGTGTCATCTGTGAGTTGTATGATGCTGCTCACAATTTCCATGACAAGAAAAACAAGAAAAATCCAGAGTGAGGCATGAACAAAAAAGATGATTCAAAAACCAAAATATGAAAGCTATAATAACACATAAACTGATGATAAGCCACCATATTAAGTGGAATAAAAGTACCAAGTATATTAAGAATACAAAGAACTTGCATGCACAAAAGACAGAATAAAAGCTAGAACTAAAAGCTTACCAGTGGCATTGACATGAGAGCCATTATCTGCAGGCAACATGTTCTGAGGGGGCAATGGACCCTTGCGGTGGGTTCAATGGTTGAATGAACATCTGAACCAAACTTTGGGCTTACCATTCAGAACGGTGTTAGCAGGATTATAGAATACTGTCACTGTACTTCCAGCCTGAACATCTAGAGGCTCAGCATAAACTATATGCTTTTGTGAAAACAAAACCCTTTTCAAAGTTATTTCATTTGTTCCAGCTTTCATGCGTGCTGTTTTCTCAGCCTGAGACAAGAGAAAGAATAGAGGCAGTAGGATTTAGCAGTCTTGAAATTCAGAAAATTACACTAAGACGATCAAGTTTTCATAAATTTAACCAAAAATAAATCTAAAGAAGGATGCATCAAAGACACCCCCTTTTAGCTGTTAGTCCCACAAATGCAACTTGTTCAGAATATAACAAACACTCAAGAGCAACCGACGGATATAAATTAAGTGGCCGTTCTCTGTGTTCAGTATGTGAACCCAACAGGACAACTAGCAGACCACAAAACATTTGGTACGAATTTCAGCTATGCTTGTGTTGTGCATGATTTAATGATAACCAATCGTACTTTTATAACCAACAATGCACAAAATCTTTATCCTTCCATTCTAATTCTAGTCATTTCAAATTCAGCATCATATCAACTGACCTTTCCACGTACAGCCTCTTCTCTTAACCTCCTCTCTTCTAGTAGTTTCGTGTATATTTGGCGTTCTTCCTCAACCCAATACAATTCTTCAGGCATACTGTTTTGGACAATTGCATGGAAATCTCGGAGATGATTGTTATCATACACAGTGGCACTACGAGGCGGACCATCAGCAAATACCCAATCCAGGATAAAGGCTTGATCAGGTACAACAACTGCAAAAGACATGGTTGCACAAAACAATTCTTATGATACAGCAATGACAAACCAACAAAAGAAACCATGCAGAGCAGGGATAGGCACACAGACACAGCATCCTTCTTGTGCCACCTTTAGAAAGTTGCAACCAGGTCCACAAAAGGGGATGCAGAGGAGTCAAGCAGTAATGTAATAATTCATAAGAGAGAAATATTTGAGACCTTTTCCTCTTTCTTAAAAATAAATAACATTCATTTCTTATACTTTTCCTAAAAGGTACCAAAACAGATTGAAATTTCATGATAAACAGCAATTGCGAGTTTGTGACCATTAAGCTGAATAGACACTGTAAAAAGAAAAAAAAAAAGCACTATTACTAGATTAAAGAAGATCTATTCAAACATACCATTAGCAGACCACCAGGCAGCTTCCCTTGTATCAGAGCTGACAAACTGCTCAACAATGGACAATCTGTCCTTCCAACTATAATGCCCCTCATGAATCCAAAGGTCATTAGCATGGGCTAGTGGACCTGAGCTTTTGTTAAATATAACTTGACCAGTTCCTCACCTTTGAACTCACTAGGTTCTATGTACCAAACATCATCAACAGACCTTGCAGTCTTTTTCATCAGTTCTTGCAACATTCCTCTCCTTTTTTCAGTTTCTGCTCTTGCCTGTGCTCTATCAGCTTCACTAGCAGCCTTCTCGGCTTCTCTTTGCCTCTGCTCTTCTGCTAGTCTTTCCTTCTCATTTTCTCATCAGTTGCGATGCTCTCCTCTTTTACAATGCCATCATTCTCTAAGTCATCAAATTGACTTCCCTCAACAACAATTTTATCCTGTGGCAGAGTCGCACCCTTACCAACTCTACTGATACTTCCATTTTTGACCATTTGATCACGTTTAACAGTGACTTCTTTATGCTTCAAGGATACTTTTCTCTACTATCTTTTCTTCATTAAGTTTCTTCTCCTCAGGAAGTTCAATTTCTAGTTTATCGTCCTTATCAACTTCTATTTCCAGTGTTCGCTTGTTAGCCTGTGCAGTCTCACCAGATTTTGTGTAATCGAACCCTCCTTTTCTCCTTTATTTTTTAAGTCTCTCTTCTTGGTGCTTGATCATACTGGTGCTCTCGGCATGAATCCCTTTGGGGAAGAACCTCTAGGCCTTGCAGTTGACATTTTTCTCCGTCTCCTCATAGAAAAATCTGCATATGAATGCAGTTCAAATTCAAAACTGTATTCAAACTGATGAATAAGAATTTAAACCCCAAAACCTAATATCATATCATATTTTCCTTATCCTATAAGTAAAATTAAAAAACAACAACTAACCTGCAGCAGAAGTAATTTGAAATGAAATCCCACTTGCTGGAAACTCCTTGATCCATGGCTAAAACCATTCACAACAGAGTAAAAAGCATTCAGTATCCAATAGACTCATATCAATACAATTTACTCGCTTTCATCTGCTTAGAATGAATCAAGTCTCAGTCACAAATTCAAAATTATAATTACTGTCACCAAGCAACAGAAAGGCCAATGAGATCCCAATAACCAAAAAACAACATTTCAATCAGCAGCAGATCAAGAAAAAAAATAATCATAACCACACAATCAAACCAATAAACAACAACCTTTAAAAACTTACATCAACCATCATTAAACATGAACACCAGAACCAAAAAAGCTCACATTTTTCAGTTCAGAATCAACAAACCAATAACAATTCAATCAAAATAATAACATAACATACTCACCAACACAAAAGACAGCAGGAATTAAATGAACCCATGAATCGTTTTAGAGTAACGAGGACACATACGCTTGAAAGCTGTCCACTTCTAACATGAGGGAAAGACCCACCAACTTCCATGGCTTTCTATTTTTAGAAACAAAACAGAATGTTTTTGTGTCAGCAAAACTCACTTCAAAGTTTCAATATTTCACTCCAAAATGAAGTTATAATGGTTAATCCATTGATCAAGACTCAATCTTTTTTATTCTATTAATAAAATCATGCATATTCTTATGACCTTTTAAAACTTTTAAGAGGAAAAACATCCTCTAATAAATAGTACTTCGAAAGTCCTAGAATCTCAGCCGTAAAAGTGTGAAGAATTTCACTCTACATTTAAAATATTGATCTAAAATGTGGGTTATGTTTAGATTGATCGTTGATTGATAGGAATTGTTGGGTCAATGGTAGATGGATTGTGGAGATGGGTTTGTTGAGATGGTTTATTGTGGGGTAGCATGTGGTGAAGTAGTGATAGAGATAATGTAGAAAATTTTGGGAAAAGTTCCTCGAAAGGGATATAGGCTTATGAGAAGCTGTTGGTGTACGATAGAAAAGGCTTAGATCGCTCGAGAATCGAAACAAGAATAGACTCATCAAATGGAGACATGACATGCCATGTCAGCAGCTAGTTTTATGACTCAGGTGAGTCAGAGACCAGACTATGAATTTGTGGTTTGCCAATGAGAAAAGAAAAGGTAGGTCTCGACTAGCGTTGAAAATGTGATTTCTCTTATATATATATATATATATATATATATCAAAAAGCTCTTGCATTTACCAAACAATGGCAATCATGCACGGCATTTCTGAAGGCAACATAATTGGAAAAACGAATTAAAATAGGAAAGAAGAAATACTTTCTCTTAACATATTCTTCAATCAATTACATGCTTCAATGAGACTGATATTACTTCTCTATTTTCTATCTTCATTGCTCATTTATTCATATTGTGCAATGAATTAAAGAAATCCAACAATACTACAGTTCTAAATGTTCTTGAACTTAAATAATTAATTAAGTAGTTGTTGTTATATTATGTTATTGCTATAGCAGGTGTTGTTTCAACAAATTTTACAACATAAAACAAGTGTAAGTACACAGTATGGCCAGAATTTTGATGAAGGTGGTAGCCTGAAAGATACCAATCAAACAATATTAGAAAAGACATTTATTTAGTGAAAATAACTGCAAACTTGAATTCTTAATTCACATCAATAAAATCTAACGATATCTGATTCCTAGAAAGGTTTATAAGCTCTTTAAATAAATTAGAAAACTTATTTCTATAGAAAACAAATAATACGGAAGAATAAAGAAAAAAATACTTAAAATCTGAAATAAAACAATAAATTTGAAAATATCAAGGAAAAGTAACAAATTTAACTCAAACAGGATCTCCTGAGCCTAATTCAAGAGATCTAAAAGTCAGATGAATAACGAAGTTTTTTGTTTATGGAACAGACCTTGAAAACCTCCTTTTAAAATTCAAATCCCATGCAATGATTAAATTTATGATTATAATATCTTTTAAATATAAAAATAATTTGAAGCAACCAAATATTTTTTTAGATTTAAATTTATCTAGATAATCTATAAAAACATATATTAGATCATCTATATAACCTATTTATAATAAATCTTTAAATGGCCAGAACCTTTACTTTCCTCATATCCAACTACATCAATTTTTACTCTACCTATACTGCAACAACCATCTCCACAACTAGTTAATCCTTTAAAAAGAAGAAGTCGAAAATGATTGTTTTAGATTCGTTGTTTTTACATCAATTTTTCTTCAGAGTCCATTTGTTTTTTCTATCAAAATGTTTTAGAAAAAATTAATATCTTTTTGTATTTTTAAATCATTTTAACCTATACTAATATCAACAATTATTTTAATATATTTTTAAATAAAAAATATTTTCAAAAACTACCATCACCGTATTCTTAAACACTACACCACATTCTCAAACGCACTGTTAACGGCGCTGCCGTTGGTCGGCGTCGCACTTATTGCAAAGAAGATTCTCCTGCATGCGTCGCAGGAAACTGTGGCTCTGAGGCAAAATAGAATGTCCAAACGCATTTGGCTTGTGTCCTGTGATGGCAGCAGAGTTCCAGCTTGGCAATTCTGGTGACCTTGATTCGTTTTATGTTAGTTTTTTTTTATGGTTACAACCTGCGCGTCTTTGCTTGTTGTGCCTTCTAATCATAATTACACAAGCCAGGATGCATATGCATGGTGGGTTAGAAGAACTCACAGATGTGGTACACCTGGCAAATACGTTGTACTGACAGACATGGTTGATACAGTTGATACTTGCAAGATTTCTTCTTATTCTCAGATTTTCAAGAACTCGTCCACGCACTTACTCCTATCCTCTTAATGATACGACCAGTACCTTTGGTTGTTCATCATCGAATTGCCGAATTCTCTTCCGTGTAGGTAAATTTTCTGCAGGTTTTCAACCTTGTACGTAGTGCTTTGTTGTTGATCATTTAATAGGGGTAGTATAATTTGTTCTGCGAGGAGTTAAGAAACCTGCAGATATGGATGTTGGTATACTGCTAAAACACACAATCTAGAGTTCATGCAGAGGAATTATATTCACGGAACACATCCACAACCAAAAAAAAATAAAAAAATGCAGCAAAAGGTGCTCACACGCATGTCCATCACCGGTGGAAATGACACCAAGTGCTTCGCTAGAAGAGATAACACCGAGCCCTATACTTGCCAGAAACAAGGCACGATAGCACTGCTCCAAGACGTTTGGCACTGATTATAGGACTTATTGGTAGTGGTAATTTTTAACAGTAAGCCTACCCTTAAACGGTGAGAGGGTGAATGGTGTGTATGGCTACAGCGAAAAGGCTACATGTTTATTTATTTTTACTTAATAATTGGATAATTAGTTTTTTTATAAAAAAATTACCCACTTTAAGATTTTACATATGGACAATGCAGGACCCCCCCTTTTTTTACTTTTTTTTTTTAATATTTTCGTCTCTTATTTTTTTATTGTATTTTTTAAGTTTTTTCTTTTTAATTTTACCCTTTAACATTTTATTAATTATAAATTATTCTTCATAATTTATATCAATTTGCTTTATATAATGTTATCATTAATTATCTTAAATAATTGTTTTAATATTTGATTGATGTTTAATTTTTTAAGTGTCTATTCTAGTTGAATCTTTTTTAATCTTTTTTAATTTCATCATTTAACATTTCATTAATTTTAAATTATTTTTTAAAATTTATTTAAATTTAATTTATTTTAAATTATTGCAATCTCAATTAAATATTCTAATATTTTGTTGGAGTTTAATTTTGTAAGCTTTTATTTTTATTATCAAATCATTAAGAAATGTTAAACTTAGTCGAATATATGTTCTAGTTGAGCATCAATCAATTTTTTTTATTGAATCATTTTTGTTTTTATTTCAATTTTCATGCTTTATGGTTGATTTGGAATTTGTTTTTATAATTTGATTTGATTTGTTTTTTATGAAATTAATCTCAATCAAATATTCTAATAATTTGTCAGAGTTTAATTTTATAAGCTTTTATTTTTATTATTAAATCATTAAAAAAAATACTTAAAAAATTTTTTTAAACTCAGTTGAATATATGTTCTTATTGAGCATCAATCAATTTTTTTTATTGAATCATTTTTGTTTTTATTTCAATTTTCATCCTTCATGGTTGATTGTGAATTTATTTTTATAATTTGGTTTAGCTTGCTTTTTATGAAATTATTGTATTTTTAAACAAATATCATGATATTTGATTGATGCTTAATTTTACAAATATTTATTTTTATTAAGTTATTATTATATAAAAACTAGTTAAAAAACTCAAAGTTGTTAAACTCGGTTAAATCCAAGATTCAAGTAGTGGGTTTGGCAGGTTAAGCCATAAAATTCAGGTCGATTCAAGATGTCAGTAATATTAAAATAAAAAGATATTATTTTAATTTTTTTAAAACTAAATCATATTTTTTTATTAATTATTTAAGTTTTATTTTATTTACCATATTGACCACATTATGCTAAGATAATTTTTATACTAGTTAATTATAAACTTTAGCTAGCTAAAAAATCAAGTTGAGATATTTGAAGATGAATTCATTATATCAAATTTAATAATAATATTAAATAATTTTTTTACCTGATTTTTTTTTAATTTCAAAATTTTTTTAATCCTACCTATACTTCTTGGTAGTAAAGACTTCGGATGCCCATACATTATTATATATATATATATATTTTATAGTGAACTCTTCGGGTGCCTATAATGTATGGATCGTAAAGTGGTTGACAGCTTGGCACATAATGTGCTTAGGTATCATCCATGTTTTTTCCTCTTCTATTCTTTCTTCAACTAGAACTAGATTCGGCCTCTGGTTTAGGCCTGGAGTTGACAGGATTCCGAGTCACCCGCATGTCGGGTCTAGCTTTTACAACTATGAACTGATATTAATACAAGACAATGACATTGTTGGACAATCTCTCAATTAAAAGCCCGTAAGAAAACTTAAGGATCAAAGCTACAAGAGTTGACCTGCTTCAGATTTGTCGTTAATGGTAGAGAATATAATAAACCATTTCCTGCACTCTCATCCATCAACTTATTTGGTAATGGTGTCTTTGTCAGAAACACATAGGAGAAGATCCACCAGCATAGTCGTGGATCCCAGTGGAGTTAATTGGATTAGTGGATCATAATCTTTTTAATGCAACAAGCACTCATTTCAGCTTGTCAGTATTATACTGTTGGGTGATGTAGTTGTATTTATTTTTTAAGTTTTTTTATATTAAAATATGTTAAAATAATATAATTATTTTTTAAAGTTGTTTTATATTAAAATATATTAAAATATCATTATATTAAAAAAATCCAAAATATATAAAAAAATTATTTTTTAATAAAAAATTTGAATGAATTTGTTATATTATTATAATCATTTGAACCTCTATGGAAATGATCTCTTTAATAGGAATTTGAATGAATTTGATATATTATTATAATCATTCGAACCTCTATGGAAATGATCTCTTTAATAGAAATACACCTGATTATAAAATGATGAAAATATTCATGAACAGCAGATGATTATGAGATAATTTGTGTATTTTTCAAGTAATTATACTTTATTTGAAATAAATATTAATAGAAAATGAAAATTGAAGAAAACATAAAATTAAATTCTTATTAAAAAATTTGAAACCAATAAAGAAAACTAGCTCCATAGAAAATTAAGATTAAGTATTGTATATTACAACTATAAAACCGAAAAATTATTCTATCTTTAAGAAAAGTCATCATTGTTTAATTTACTCTACTTATATTGGTAAAGTAATGTTTTTCTTCTAAGAACAAAACTACTTGAAGACTAGTGTTGGCCCATTTACGATCAGCCAAGACTGCATGCATTGCACGCCAATGTTGTTTCTTCAAGCCTCTATATAAAGGGAGGCGTAGCTTGAGGACTGAAACCGCATATCCCTCAACCCATAAACACAATGCTACCTCATAATTGCCCGATGGCTACTCATCTTGGCTGGCTGTTTTTAGGAAAGCTCTTCCGAATAATTTGCCTGTTAGCTTCTGCTAAGCTGGTGATGCCATCCAATATTACGGACTTGGATCCTCGTTTTCCCACCGATTGTTTCGATCGCACATCCTTTCCGCCGGATTTCATATTTGGGGTAGCCTCATCCGCTTACCAGGTAGCTCGACTGAACCTTTACTAAGCTTCCCTAGTTGATTACTAATCGCACTTTTCTTCTTATTTAATAAGACTAAATCAAGCTGAGCTTAATTATAGCTAGCTATTAAGATACACACAATTCAAATGCTCCATTGTAATGTTTTTTCATTTGCTGGTGTACTTCTCCCAGCATCTCGTTTCTGGTCGCCTTTCCTCCATTTTATTTATCAAAATGGTGCCACTTAAATGGTTTACATGCACAGGAGGTTTATTTAATGTATATAATTGCGTGTCAAAAACAATTAAAGAATTCCTACATATACCAGTACTATATATGTTATAAAAAAATCCTCAAATATATATATATATATCATCTGATTTTGGAATTCTTTGTTTATGGTATCAAGTACGAGGGTCATGCACTCGTAAGTCTCAGAGGTCCGAGTGAATGGGACACCTTTGCTCAAGATTTCCCAGGTATCTCTCTCTCTTACTACGACTTTAGTATTCGAAATTCAATTTTCAGTATTTTAATTATTGTAATTTGCTTTATTGGCTTTTGTCTTCCCATGAGGTAAGTTTCTAAGAATAAGTCCATCAATTTTATTAACTGAATCTACATCCTCTAATTTCTAAGAATGGATTAAATTTATACTCTTACCTTCAAACTTTAATATTTATTAATTTTTTTTTTGTAATTTCTCATCTATGCACAACAATTTTTATTCCTCGTATTGATTTTTTTTATTTAATTATGAAAAATAGCCTCTTCATAAAACTTTCATGAGTATTTTTGCAATATTCTTTGGTTAAATCGGATAGTTAATGCACGCTAATTTATTAATCTTGATATATCATGCGCAAAGTATCGTTAAAGCATTAATGGTATGCACTCAATTCTTTAAATGAAAAAATCATAAAGAATTGAAAAGGTTTGAGAACTCTTATCATCAACTTAACTATTCCATTTAATATTATTTTATGTGAGAATATTAGTAAATAATATAAATTAATCGAATATTCTACCCAATTCACTTTTTTTTTTGGGGTTTGTTTTTTCTTCGGCATAAACCCTTAAAAAAAAATTATCCATTCCCTCTCTTTCTAAGAAAGGCAGAGTCCTTAATTGATTTTTATTTTATCAATATACTCTTTACTTGATTGAATTAGGAATGAGATCCATATAATATATCAATGTACAATTTAAATGAGATAGATTATTTTTCTGAAAACATCAAAGTGCGTGTAAATGAGGTGCTCTATCTAATAGCTATAGCCGTATAGCCCTTTTGCTTGTGATATATATTTTATATAATTTAAATGAGATAGATTATTTTTCTAAAAACATCAACGTGCGTGTAAACGAGGTGCTCTATTTAATTGAGTTATAGCCCTTTTGCTTGTGATATATATTTTATCATGTCAATAATTTTTTGTCAAGATGAATATTACATAATCCAACTTTTACTTTTATTTCTTTAATCGGTATTGCTTATAAATAATATTATATTTATAATCCATCGATGTGACGGGAATATAAATTATATTTTAAGATATTATTTTAAAATTTAAGTTTTAAAGTTAAATTATTTTTTTAATATAATATCAGAATTTTAATAATTTAATGATCATGAGTTTTAATATCATAATTTTTATTTATTTAATAAAAATTAAATAAAAATTATGTGTGTCTGTTTAAATTTCCTTTGCATATCTTGGTATTTGTTTATGTATGGTTGCTTCATATATTAAAAGGTTTTAAGGACATGAAATTAGGAAACCATAAGACAAATACAGTTTACATCTTAGCATGAATGACTAATGTGCAGCTCCATCGATCATTTTTATGAGGACTTTTAGAAAGGATAGCTGATGGCAGCAACGCAGACACCGCAATTGATTTCTACAATCGCTACCAGGTATAGATCAATTTGATTATAATTCTGTAAAACAATATTAATTTTTTTTTCTAAATAACTCATAATAAAAAATAACACGTATTCCAAATCATGGCAACTGGATTAGAAATTAACAAGTTATTCATTAAATAAGCTAAATTCCATACTGGTAAAGAAATTCTTTACAGCAATAAGGTTATGTTTCGTTTAGTATAACTAAATAAACAGAACACATACAAATACAGAAGATATAAAAACTGAAGAGTAAATTAAAAACAAAGATATTAAATAAATAAATCTATCACTTTAGCAGTTTTGATGTAAATTTGTATTCTTTTAAAACATGATGAGGGACAAGGGGTCTCCATTATCTTGTCTTTTTTGTCTTGATATTATAACCAAATGCTACTTAACAACACAGAAATGCACACCTGCACGCGCACATATTTAGAAACACAAAACCAAACTTTAATGTGTTAGAATCTCTTGAATACTTGTAATAATGAACGTGAATACCCATAACGTGACAGAGTGATCTTCAAATAGTGAAGAACTTGAGCGTGGATGCTTTCAGATTGTCTATCGACTGGTCCAGAGTGATTCCCAGTAAGTATTAGTTAGAGAAAAAGAACAGTAAAAGGATGTGCATTTATTTTTTTGTTCATACTTTTTTACTTTTAGTTTTTTCAAAAACAAATATTTAATGATATTCAGGTGGGAAAATAAGTAGAAAAGTGAACCAGCATGGAATTGATTTCTACAACAAGGTCATCAATGAAAGCATAGAAAACGGTTAAAATCTTCTCCCACTTCTTAGAAGTATACAATTTCTGTTGTTTCATGGGTGCTGCCTGAATCTTTAAAATAATTTGTTAAGAAATGTAGATCAAAGTAAGAAGAACTAAGAAAATTACTTGCAAGGATATCGCAAGCATATTGAACCAACTATTTAGTAACTTCTTGAATTGATCCGTGTGAATTTGATTTCATAATATGAAGAAAAAAAAAATCAAAGAGGATGAAAAAACTAAATAATTCTTTTTTATGTCTTCTGGAGGGTAAAAAATATTTCATTATTTGATTTGGGAAGATGTTATCTAAAAGCCGCTCTCATCTTTTGAGGCTAAACTTCACAGGTTTTGAGCCTTTTATAACTCTCTTTCATTGGGATATTCCTCAAGGACTTGAAGACAATTATGGAGGGTTTCTAAGTGATCAAATTGTGTAAGTAATCACCTTTTATCAAGGTTATTGAATAATTTAAAAATGGAAGTCAAGCATTCGTATTTGTCAAATTATGTATGGAATTGTAACATAGTATTTCTGTTCTTTTAATTAATTTATAGGAATGATTTTCGAGATTTTGCTGAACTTTGCTTCCGGGAATTTGGTGACCGAGTGAAGTACTGGATTACTTTAAATGAGCCACAAAAGTACTCCAGTGCTGGCTATGATTCAGGTGAGTTTGCACCGGGCCGATGTTCCAAATGGGTGAATGAAAAGTACTGCATGAAAGGAGACTCTTCCACTGAGCCTTACAAAGTTGCTCATAATCTCCTCCTTTCTCACGCAGCTGCAGTAAAGACATACAAGGAAAAGTATCAGGTATCCAATAAATGCACATTTTTAATGGATAGAGTATTATTTAATCCCTATGAACAATATATATATATATATATATATATATATATTTATATATATGTAGGCATCACTTTGATTATTGAAAATGTAGGCATCTCAAAATGGGAAGATTGGGATAACACTCAATACCCCTTGGTTCGAACCATACTCTAACAGTACGGATGATTATGATGCTGCCAAAAGATCTCTTGATTTCACGCTTGGTTGGTATGTATTTCTCCAAAACATGAGCTAGTAGCTAGCTGGATCTTCTATAATTTTCATTAATTATTTCAATAACGCAATTGCTTGGTGGTTGCTTAGTAGTCATTGTGATATAATTTGGAAGCTTCATATCATTTTCATTTGTATTACTGCTCTAATCCAAAAGTTGGTCTCCTTTAGCATCATATTTCCTGTCAGAAGACAGTAGTAGATAGTTTAACAAAGCAGAAGAATTTATTTAGACTTTTGGCTTGAATTTAAATTGTTTCCCTGATGTTGGAGAGTCAATATTGTCTTATTGGCTGTATTGGCTTCAATTAATCTAGATTTTCATCTGAAAAAAATAAATTATTGTATAACTCGTACCAACATTTCATGTTTCTAGGTTCTTGAATCCTATAACATATGGTGACTATCCGCCCAGCATGCGGGAATTGGTTAAAGAAAGATTACCACCATTCTCGTCACCAGATGAAGTGAAAGGAACATATGACTTTGTTGGATTAAATTATTATACTGCATATTATGCAGCAAATGCAAATACTTCTGACCCGGATCATCTTAGATATCAAACAGATTCTAATGCCAACATTACAGGTAAGAATTTTGTCATTTTAGTCTTGCTAAGGGACAAATGTTTACTATTGCCATGGACCGAAGCGATAAAAATTGCCAGGTTATGCCCTGAAGGTTTAAAACAATGTACCTCTTTTAAGTCCTTGAAGTTAGATTTTTTTGTCATGTCCATGTACATAGCTATATGGGTTTTTGATGATTATCCAAAAAAAAAGTCCTTGAAGTTAGAAAAGTCTTGAAAAGTCATTAGAGATTTGTAAAACTTAGTTAGAGTTTGATTATTGTTTCCAAAGAAAGAGAGAATTTCATGTGCTTTATATTTTTAAAAGATAAAAATTTATCTCAAAACTATAAGAAAAATAAATTTATTTTATCTATTTGTCACTGTAAAAATAAGTTTTTCGTTTCTTCTTCATTTGTATTTTTTCAGGAGAACGAGGAAGGATCCCCATCGGTCCAAGGGTTTGTTAGAAAATGATACATAATTTAGACAATTTTACTTTTTTTGATATTTGAAATCGAGAAAAAAATGTTATTATAACGCGAGCTAGCTGCATGTTCTACAAATTGCAGGCTGGTGCATCATGGCAGTATATCTATCCAGAGGGGATAAAATATCTTTTGAATTACACCAAAGACAATTACCAAGATCCAATAATTTACATAACTGAGAATGGTATTATAATAAACTTTGCACATTACAATGGAAAGTTAGTAAGATTTCAAGGGCCAAACTCATTAATTCTTCTTTGTTTCATATTTTTCGTCTATTTAGGGTACAGCCGCTTGCTTGATGCTAATGTATCAGATGCTAAAGCCTTGAATGATAGTCCAAGAATAGAATTCCATTTTCACCATCTTCGGAATGTTATAAAATCTATCGAGTGAGTTTACTTACTGTTTAATCACACGATTTTAATTTCCTTTTTTTATCCCCGTTTTTTGCCTTAAATTAAAGTGAACATGCACTTATAATCGGCTGCTAACCAAAAAAGTTAGGGTTCAAATAAAGATTTAAATAAATTAAAAGACCAAAATGTTAACGTTTGAACTCATTTCTGCAGCGATTATGAAGTTCAAGTCAAAGGTTACTTTGCATGGTCTTTCACCGACGACTTTGAATTTACAGATGGATACACCATAGGATTTGGTTTGGTGCATATAAACCGTAAATCTAATTTAACAAGACAAATGAAGCTCTCAGCATCCTGGTTTTCAGAATGCCTTTCGAAGCAATGAGCTGCTCCAGCGGTATATTTCAAGCGATTAAGACTAGCTTGATGGATGAGAAAGAGTCTGGCCAATTAAAACTTGGGTATGTTACCAAGTTAAATTTCAAAGTAAAAATTTAGCCTTTCGGTAATTGAAAATAAATTGGTGAGTGAGGGGAAGGACAAAAATAAGCAATAAACTGGTGAGTGAGGGGAAGGACAAAAATAAGCAGAAAGAGTCTGGCCAATTAAAACTTGGGTATGTTACCAAGTTAAATTTCAAAGTAAAAATTTAGCCTTTCAATAAACTGGTGAGTGAGGGGAAGGACAAAAATAAGCCAAAAATAGGTGAGCATAATGCATCATTGGATAAACTTTCTATCTATATTATAATCCTTATGGATTCACCAATGTTTCACTTCCATCCTTAAATTTCAAAATTCTCTTAATTTTACTTATGTACTTTATAAGAGTTTTTAATCCTTCGTTATTGGACAATGAGAGTTTCAAGCTTGAAGCCTTTAAAAAATATTTTAAAATTTTTTAGTGTTAATTAAAACAAAAATTTGTTGAAATTATAGTCTAAGTTTGGAATTCTTAATATTTTTTTTAAAAAAAAACTTTATTTAACTAGTATTTATAATCATTATGATGATGATAATTAATAAAAACATCATGCTAATGCTGAACCAAATGTTTCCAAGTACTTAGGTAATTAAATTATTGATGAGTGGGTTATTCGAGCATAATTAATAGACATGAAAATAGCAAGTATCCGAAACACAGGTTGTATCTATGCTGTTACAAGCCTTGTCTCTATGATCAGCCTATAATAGTACAGACCGGAAGTCCATGGATGGCCGGGCCTTTAATTTGTTCTGTTTTACGGGAGTCCATGAAAATTTATTTCTAACTAAAAATAATTATAACCTTAACACCTCTGGTTAACAAAGAGGCAAGAGGCATGTTTGACTTTTTAAGCTCAAATTTTTGGATCAATATTTAATTTTTTTTATTTAATTTATTGAAATACAATATGATAATGTTTGTCATGTGAATGTAATATCACAACGATCATTCTTTCAAGTCAGGATAGTTAGGAATAATGTGGAAGGTTAAGAAATTTTTGTCTTTTGTCATAATCTATTTTTGGATAATTTCTTAAATTTATTTTTTTCTTTTGAAAAAAATAAAAACTAACAACTTGAAAAAGTAAGTTGGGGGAGGATTTCAAATATATAAGAAGATCAAGCTACAATTTTGAACAAATTAAAAGTCTAAATGTACCCCATTACACCCAAAATTAAAGAGATAATGCAAATTCAAGTTCAAAGTAAATCATTATTGGATGAATGTGCATAAAAATTAAGCCTAAGGATATAATTAAAATTTTAATAGGCCAATTTAATTTAATCATGGGTCAAATTAATGTTTAATCATGTTTAAGAATTAATTTGGATCTAATTAAAAGATTTAAATGTGCAATGACTTAATTATACTTTGAATGGGTCAAATTAACTTTTTAAGGGTTTAATTGGTAAAAAATTAAGTTTGAGAGCCCAATTTGAGCTTAATTAAAAAGATTAAAATTTTAGGAGATTAAATTTAATTTTTATCAAGTCAATTGATTGACATCAAAGGCAAAATCACAAACAAAGTTTTGGGGTCAATTAATGGTTAGATTGAAGAAATTCACAACTGAGAACCAAGCAGCAAAAGACACCGAACTATGAGGGCTTATTTGATTGAAATTAAGGGTGCAATTGAAGAAATTTAAAAGCTTAATGGTCAATTGAGGGTTAAATTGAAGAAATATAAAACTAAGGACTATAATGAAAAGGCACATAAATCTAGGGCTAAAATTGAAGTGTTTTTAGAGATAAAATTATATAAAATTGAAAGTTTAAAGCTAATTAGATATGTATTTGAGAGCAATTAGAATTTCCACTAAAATGACAGTTTCGAGAGCTACTTTATAGATATATTTAATGCCTCTATTCTTCACTAAAATTTGACAAACATTTTTTCTTCCAAAAATAATTTGACAAAAATTGTACGAAAATAATCACCTGACATTCAACCATATCTTAATATGGTCCTTGTTGGCTGATTGACACCATAATGGACATAGTGCCGACTCAAAAAGACCAACTCAAATAGCCTTCAATTGTCAAATATGATAGTTTATGATGTTTACTTTGAGTTAATAGTTGAAATCCTTTTTAGATAAATCAAGAATCAAAATGTTTTTTTAATGAAGACATGATTGCTCTCTTCCACCTCTTACAAATAGAACCAAATTTCATGGCCATGAAGAAATTGAAAGTCAAAATTTGAAAAAAACATTAGCCTCACCTGGTTCTTTTTCAATGGCTAACCTTTTTTTTCTCTCCATTAGTTTCTTCAGCCACTACAATCTCCCCCCATATCATGACCTATAACAACTCATTTTTCTCTACCAACCTAGCTCCTTGTTGGTGATAGAGACAGCCACCATGAGCTTTTCTCTCTTTGCCACAAACTTCTTCTTCCTTAAATGCCAACCATTGATTCTTTCATTAGTGGCAACCGCCAACATAACCTCTTCCTCATGTATTTTCAGGCAAAAGATGAAGGATGATGAACAGTAACCAAATAACGTGTCATCTAGTTTGTTTTTTTTTTTTATAAAAAAAAATCTTGAAAACAACTTTGTTTTGACTTTAGGATTTTAATTTAAGAATTTGATCAAAGTTCAATTTAGTCTTTTGACTTTTAGTTATTGCAATTATGTTCCTAATGAGTTTGAAACTTCTCATTTTATGTAATTTCACCTTTGCTAAACTTCAATATTAGCCTCGAATTTTAACATCTTTTTTTATTTTAGTCATTGTTGTAGGATTTATGCAAATTGACTATCAAACTTCTAATATGCTTTATTTTTATACTTGATTTCAACTAATTAACTTTGTAAAAATTAAGTTTGGTCCTTTAAAATTTTAATATTCTTAATTAAGCTTAAATTGAGTTTCCAAACTTAATTCTTCACCAATTAAGCCCTAATAAAATTAATTTGACCTATTTAAAGTATAATTAAGTCTTTATACTTAAATAAAATAATTAATTTGACCTAAATTAGTTATTAAACATAATTAAACATTTAATTTGGCTCTCCAATTAAACATCTAATTATGACATCGGGCTTATTTTTTTATGTAGATTTGTCCAATAATAATTTAGTTTAACTTTAAATTTGTATTCTCTCTTTAATTTTGGGTGCAATGAGGTATAATTAAGTTTCTAATTTTATTCATAATTGCAACTTAATTCTTTGTATATTTGAAATCGCCCTTAGTTTTTTTTTTTTTTAAATAAATTTATTTTATCTATTTGTCACTGTAAAAATAAGTTTTTCGTTTCTTCTGCATTTGTATTTTTTCAGGAGAACGAGGAAGGATCCCCATCGGTCCAAGGGTTTGTTAGAAAATGATACATAATTTAGACAATTTTACTTTTTTTGATATTTGAAATCGAGAAAAAAATGTTATTATAACGCGAGCTAGCTGCATGTTCTACAAATTGCAGGCTGGTGCATCATGGCAGTATATCTATCCAGAGGGGATAAAATATCTTTTGAATTACACCAAAGACAATTACCAAGATCCAATAATTTACATAACTGAGAATGGTATTATAATAAACTTTGCACATTACAATGGAAAGTTAGTAAGATTTCAAGGGCCAAACTCATTAATTCTTCTTTGTTTCATATTTTTCGTCTATTTAGGGTACAGCCGCTTGCTTGATGCTAATGTATCAGATGCTAAAGCCTTGAATGATAGTCCAAGAATAGAATTCCATTTTCACCATCTTCGGAATGTTATAAAATCTATCGAGTGAGTTTACTTACTGTTTAATCACACGATTTTAATTTCCTTTTTTTATCCCCGTTTTTTGCCTTAAATTAAAGTGAACATGCACTTATAATCGGCTGCTAACCGAAAAAGTTAGGGTTCAAATAAAGATTTAAATAAATTAAAAGACCAAAATGTTAACGTTTGAACTCATTTCTGCAGCGATTATGAAGTTCAAGTCAAAGGTTACTTTGCATGGTCTTTCACCGACGACTTTGAATTTACAGATGGATACACCATAGGATTTGGTTTGGTGCATATAAACCGTAAATCTAATTTAACAAGACAAATGAAGCTCTCAGCATCCTGGTTTTCAGAATGCCTTTCGAAGCAATGAGCTGCTCCAGCGGTATATTTCAAGCGATTAAGACTAGCTAGATGGATGAGAAAGAGTCTGGCCAATTAAAACTTGGGTATGTTACCAAGTTAAATTTCAAAGTAAAAATTTAGCCTTTCGGTAATTGAAAATAAATTGGTGAGTGAGGGGAAGGACAAAAATAAGCCAAAAATAGGTGAGCATAATGCATCATTGGATAAACTTTCTATCTATATTATAATCCTTATGGATTCACCAATGTTTCACTTCCATCCTTAAATTTCAAAATTCTCTTAATTTTACTTATGTACTTTATAAGAGTTTTTAATCCTTCGTTATTGGACAATGAGAGTTTCAAGCTTGAAGCCTTTAAAAAATATTTTAAAATTTTTTAGTGTTAATTAAAACAAAAATTTGTTGAAATTATAGTCTAAGTTTGGAATTCTTAATATTTTTTTTAAAAAAAAACTTTATTTAACTAGTATTTATAATCATTATGATGATGATAATTAATAAAAACATCATGCTAATGCTGAACCAAATGTTTCCAAGTACTTAGGTAATTAAATTATTGATGAGTGGGTTATTCGAGCATAATTAATAGACATGAAAATAGCAAGTATCCGAAACACAGGTTGTATCTATGCTGTTACAAGCCTTGTCTCTATGATCAGCCTATAATAGTACAGACCGGAAGTCCATGGATGGCCGGGCCTTTAATTTGTTCTGTTTTACGGGAGTCCATGAAAATTTATTTCTAACTAAAAATAATTATAACCTTAACACCTCTGGTTAACAAAGAGGCAAGAGGCATGTTTGACTTTTTAAGCTCAAATTTTTGGATCAATATTTAATTTTTTTTATTTAATTTATTGAAATACAATATGATAATGTTTGTCATGTGAATGTAATATCACAACGATCATTCTTTCAAGTCAGGATAGTTAGGAATAATGTGGAAGGTTAAGAAATTTTTGTCTTTTGTCATAATCTATTTTTGGATAATTTCTTAAATTTATTTTTTTCTTTTGAAAAAAATAAAAACTAACAACTTGAAAAAGTAAGTTGGGGGAGGATTTCAAATATATAAGAAGATCAAGCTACAATTTTGAACAAATTAAAAGTCTAAATGTACCCCATTACACCCAAAATTAAAGAGATAATGCAAATTCAAGTTCAAAGTAAATCATTATTGGATGAATGTGCATAAAAATTAAGCCTAAGGATATAATTAAAATTTTAATAGGCCAATTTAATTTAATCATGGGTTAAATTAATGTTTAATCATGTTTAAGAATTAATTTGGATCTAATTAAAAGATTTAAATGTGCAATGACTTAATTATACTTTGAATGGGTCAAATTAACTTTTTAAGGGTTTAATTGGTAAAAAATTAAGTTTGAGAGCCCAATTTGAGCTTAATTAAAAAGATTAAAATTTTAGGAGATTAAATTTAATTTTTATCAAGTTAATTGATTGAAATCAAAGGCAAAATCACAAGAAAAACAAAGTTTTGGGGTCAATTAATGGTTAGATTGAAGAAATTCACAACTGAGAACCAAGCAGCAAAAGACACCGAACTATGAGGGCTTATTTGATTGAAATTAAGGGTGCAATTGAAGAAATTTAAAAGCTTAATGGTCAATTGAGGGTTAAATTGAAGAAATATAAAACTAAGGACTATAATGAAAAGGCACATAAATCTAGGGCTAAAATTGAAGTGTTTTTAGAGATAAAATTATATAAAATTGAAAGTTTAAAGCTAATTAGATATGTATTTGAGAGCAATTAGAATTTCCACTAAAATGACAGTTTCGAGAGCTACTTTATAGATATATTTAATGCCTCTATTCTTCACTAAAATTTGACAAACATTTTTTCTTCCAAAAATAATTTGACAAAAATTGTACGAAAATAATCACCTGACATTCAACCATATCTTAATATGGTCCTTGTTGGCTGATTGACACCATAATGGACATAGTGCCGACTCAAAAAGACCAACTCAAATAGCCTTCAATTGTCAAATATGATAGTTTATGATGTTTACTTTGAGTTAATAGTTGAAATCCTTTTTAGATAAATCAAGAATCAAAATGTTTTTTTAATGAAGACATGATTGCTCTCTTCCACCTCTTACAAATAGAACCAAATTTCATGGCCATAAAGAAATTGAAAGTCAAAATTTGAAAAAAACATTAGCCTCACCTGGTTCTTTTTCAATGGCTAACCTTTTTTTTCTCTCCATTAGTTTCTTCAGCCACTACAATCTCCCCCCATATTATGACCTATAACAACTCATTTTTCTCTACCAACCTAGCTCCTTGTTGGTGATAGAGACAGCCACCATGAGCTTTTCTCTCTTTGCCACAAACTTCTTCTTCCTTCAATGCCAACCATTGATTCTTTCATTAGTGGCAACCGCCAACATAACCTCTTCCTCATGTATTTTCAGGCAAAAGATGAAGGATGATGAACAGTAATCAAATAACGTGTCATCTAGTTTGTTTTTTTATAAAAAAAAATCTTGAAAACAACTTTGTTTTGACTTTAGGATTTTAATTTAAGAATTTGATCAAAGTTCAATTTAGTCTTTTGACTTTTAGTTATTGCAATTATGTTCCTAATGAGTTTGAAACTTCTCATTTTATGTAATTTCACCTTTGCTAAACTTCAATATTAGCCTCGAATTTTAACATCTTTTTTTATTTTAGTCATTGTTGTAGGATTTATGCAAATTGACTATCAAACTTCTAATATGCTTTATTTTTATACTTGATTTCAACTAATTAACTTTGTAAAAATTAAGTTTGGTCCTTTAAAATTTTAATATTCTTAATTAAGCTTAAATTGAGTTTCCAAACTTAATTCTTCACCAATTAAGCCCTAATAAAATTAATTTGACCTATTTAAAGTATAATTAAGTCTTTATACTTAAATAAAATAATTAATTTGACCTAAATTAGTTATTAAACATAATTAAACATTTAATTTGGCTCTCCAATTAAACATCTAATTATGACATCGGGCTTATTTTTTTATGTAGATTTGTCCAATAATAATTTAGTTTAACTTTAAATTTGTATTCTCTCTTTAATTTTGGGTGCAATGAGGTATAATTAAGTTTCTAATTTTATTCATAATTGCAACTTAATTCTTTGTATATTTGAAATCGCCCTTAGTTTTTTTTTTTTTTTGTAATAGTCAAAATTTTTATTAGAAAGGCGATTACAAATACAATATCCTAACTTAATAAACAGAGGAAAGAAACAGAGAAAAGAAAACCACAAAAGCTGGCACATGAAACAAGGGAGAGCAACAATTAAGGGCAAAACTATTATTACTTTATTTTTTTAAAAAATAAAAGTAAATTTTGAGGAATAATCCAAAAATAAATTATGACATCCCTATTGTTTTCCTACCATACCAGGGCAGCTACATTGTCCCTTAGAGTTGATGCTGTTGAAGTGCAATTGATGGTGTCGCATTAGATATACCTAACATCATAACCTTGATTATTTGTTCTAAATACAGTATTGGATCAATGTATGATCTAGCTGCTATTGTTGGGTTTCTTCACCATAAATCATCATAATCCTAAAGTTACATACATCATCACCATCTTCTTCCTTTCTTTCTTTACTAAAACAAAACCCCTATTTTCATTCAACCAAGAACCCAATATAAAGTTGATCAAACCCACTTGTAAATAATAAAAAAAAAACAGAAAAGGAATAAATTTGAAAAATCAATAAAATAAAAGATAAAAAATATATCAATTAATGTTACACGTTTCTTGAATTTTGTGGTTTTATGATATGGGTTATATATGATGTTATGAAATTAGGTTATTTCATATGAGTTTCTTTCTTTGTTTGTATATGCAGGTAATTTAGCTATTTTATCGATTTAAAAATTTTAATTGACTGAAAATGTAAAATGTAACTTTTAAAAGAATAGAAAAAAAGTGAAAAAAAGAGAGTATATTACAAGGAGATATTTTTTCCTGCAATCTCGTTCTTCAACTTATCTGGTAATTGGAGTCTTTGTCAGAAATACATGGAAGAAGATCCACCAGCATGGTCGTGGATGGGAAATGGAGATAATTGGAGTGGTGGATCATGATCTTGTGGATGCTCCAAGCACTCATTTCCCTGTTAGTGCCCTACGTTCTAAATAGAAGTCTTCATGTGTTTAATGAAATATGAACCTCTATGGAGATGTTCTAGACATTTTTTTACTGTAATAGGAAAAAAGTCTTCGTGTGTTTCATGTGTTCAATAATTAAATTATAATTATTTTTTTTATATAAAAGATATAATTATACTAAATTTTTTTAATATCAAAACTTCGCAGGCTAGATTTATATTATTTTATATTAATTTTTTATTAAATAAATAAAAATAATAAAATTTAAATTTAAGGTTACTAAATTATCAAGATTATGATGTTATATTAAAAAATTAATTCAATTTAATAATTTAAATTATTAGATATTAAATTTTAAAATATAATTTATATTATTTTATAATGATTTTTATAAAAAAGATAATAATTTTATTAGATTTTGTTTACATGAATCCATAATATACGGATCCATGTTGTATGGATCGATATGATCGAGTGGTTGACAGTTGGCACATAATGCTCATAATGCCCATAATGTGCTTAGGTAACTTCCATTAACTGATTTGTATCCAATAATTAATTAATTAGAGAAATGCCCACTTGTTGCATTGTATATGATACTTCTTAAAAATTGCAATAAAAGCTAAATGTCGACAAATAAATGTAAAATAAAAATAAAACTAAAAATGACAATTGAATTAATGCATAAAATTTGTAATTAAAAAAAGACATATTATCATATCTTACGCCACCAAAACTAGTTAAAAGCTTAATAATTATTTTCAAATTTAAAAAGATTTTTAAATAGAAAAATAAAAATGTTAATAAATATTATAAATTAACTTATATTAATAAAAAAAATAATGATATTATGGATAATTTCACAATTAATATCTGATCTGAGCATCAACTCAAGCAAGGCCTTACTGAAGAAGGTTGGTTATATCAACAATTTTATTATTTAAAAGATAAATATTTAATTTGATAAGTAGTAAATATTTAAAATAAAAAAGATTAATATTAAAAATACATGATGTTGCCAATAAAAAATCAACCTAAAAGATAGACATTTTAGATTCGCAGTTGTATTATTGATTTATAAGTCATACTTTATCATTAACATCATTATAATTGTTATAGCAAAAATAATTTTGAAATATTAAATTAATTTATTAGTAGAGAAATATAAAAGATAAATACAATTAATCACACAAAAATCATATGATTTTGCATGATTCTATTAAAATTAATTTCTATCAAATAATCATCATAATTTAAAAACATAAATTAACAAAATATAATTTATATTATTATTTAATTTATTTTCTTAAGTGAAAGTCTTTTAAACTTGAAATTTACTTTAAGTAAAAGTTTTTTAAACTTGAAATTTACACAAATTTATATTATATATTTTATATTTAATTTTTATTAAATAAACAGGGATGCTAAAATTTATACTCATGATTTTTTGGATATTAAAACTTTGATATTATATTAAAAAAAAATTTAACTTAAAAATTTGAATTATGAAATATAATTTTAAAATATAATTTATATTATTATTTATCTGTTACAACATGTTTAAAAGTGAGTTTGAGGAAATACTTTATTATATTCTCTACCGCCAAATAAAGAGAGAACTCCCACTGAATCTTTAAGCAAATCAACTGTAGTAGTTTTCATTCCCAAATTGTCTTTTGGGCTTTTAATTGAGAAATTGTCCGACAATGAAATTATTATTTATTTATTTATTTATTATTATTATTATTATCAGTCAAGTTCTAATGTTTACTTATAATTTAGTTGCTTTTTCTTTTTTAATTATTTTGAAAACAATTATTAAGCTTTACTAGTTTTGGGGATCTCTGGCATGATGATGTCCTTTTTAATTATAAATTTATATGCATTGATTCATTTGTCATTTTTATCTTTTTTTTATTATACATTTATTTAATTCACATTCACAATTAATTTTTATTTCAATTTTTAAGAAGTATAATATACAAAGCAGCAAGTGGGTATTTCGCTAATTAATTAGTTAATTAATGGGAAACAATTCAGTTAATGGAGGATACCTAGGCACATTATGGGCATAATGAGGCAAACTGTCAACCATTTGATCATATGGATCCATACTCTTCTTTTTTTTTTTAATAAAATATTAGAGATTTATTAAATTAATTGTTAATTATAGCCATTAATAACATGATTTAATAGAGAATAAAAGTATATAAAATTTAAGAAGAGTCATAAAACTTTTTAATATAATTAAATCAACATCAATCTAATCAAGCAAAAAGACCCTAAAAAAAAAACATAACCAAGCAGCTAAGTTATCTTCTCTGCTTAACCAAATAATCAGCAACATCATTGATCTTCTCTTTATGAACATGATTAAAACACACATAATAAATCCTATTGAATTTTGTTTGCAGGCAACAAAGCGGCATAACATTTTCTTCCCGTTAGTTTAAGAAATGGCAATATTATAAGAATTTGACTCAACAACTCATTGATTTGTATTTAATTGTCAAGATCTCAGCATCATTAACTTCCATATTACCTATGAAATAAGAAAAAAAATACGATGATATCTCCCTTCTTTATGATATCTGATAACACCACCAACAATTCCTGAAGATTGGTTTGCCATTTGAAGATGTTTCAATACAGCAAGAGGTATTCATGAAGGATCACTTCCCATATATATCCTGGTAGTCCATATAAAAATATATTTTAATGAACAAATTATATTAAAAATTCTCACCATATTACCTATGGCAGCTTTCATTACGGGCATCAGAAAACTCGACTATCAAAATATATGATATAATTATTTATTTTTTTGTATAGAAAGATTTATAGTTATTGACTTATTATCATATTGATATATGTCTGGGCATCCAAGGTGTTAGCTATCAAGAAATATAGTATAATTATATCTTTTCAATTAAAAAAGTAATAGTGTAATTGTTATATTTATCGGTTGTCCTCGTTTGGATCTTGATTTTAGTTTAGTAAATACAAACAACAGGCATCTGGTACTGTAACCTTTTTTTTTTACAGAGCAATCTGATGGAACATATAGTGGATAAATAGGATCAGCTATATATATTTGTATTTCTATTACATAAAACACTTATTTGGTAATGACTGAAGTACATGGGAGGAGAAAATACTCCAGCATATATAGTCATGGATGGGACATGGAGTTAACTGGATTGGTAGATTGCAAGTAAGATAATAGCTCTGGTGTCAAAAGTCAAACTGGATAGAAACGAAATTCCTGATTCGAATTCTATTATTTAAATTTCTCAACTTATAAACGAGTATGTGATTTATCAAGAATTTGGAGTTAATAAATTCTCCTTCATGTTTTTGTTTGTAAAAGTCCTGCGGATAGATTCCAGAAATATATCCAGAAAATAAATAAATAAATAAACAAATAATATTCTGGTTTAGTAGATTATAATCTTTCGGATGCTAAAAGCACTCATTTCCCTGTCAGGTTTTGCTTTACCAAAAAAATTTCATTTTAACTTGGATAAAAATCCCTACCATAGCCGCTTACATTACACACATATGTTTGCCTCTATATAAAGGAAGGTTTAACATGAGAATTGAAACCACAAATCCCTCAACCCATAAACACATTGCTACCTAATAATTGCTAGATGGCGATTCGTCTTGGCTGGCCATTTTTAGGAATGCTCTTCCTAATAATTTGCCTGTTAGCTTCTGCAAAGCTAGTGATGCCAACCACAGATAGTAATGTTACCGCTTACTTCAATCGAACATCCTTTCCAGAGAATTTCAAGTTTGGGGTAGCCTCATCCTCTTACCAGGTAGCGAGACTGAACCTTCACTTTGCTTCCAGGCTAGGATTCCCTATACGTAGTCATCAACTTCTCATCGCGAGACTACAGCTAGCTATAAAGATACACACAATTCAGATGGTTATAAGACTAAACCAGGCTGAGCTTATGCCTAGCTGAGAACATACACACAATTCAGATGCTGCTGTACTTCTCCTAGCAGCTCGTTTCTGTGGCCTTCCCTCCAATTTATTTTCCAAACTGGAGCCAAACAAATGGTTTACATGCTTAAAAAAATATTACATTAAAATTTTTAGAGTGAAGCAGGGCCAAAACGCATGCATAGAAGGATTTTTGTTTATTGTATATAACCGTGTGTCAAAAAATTAATGAATGCCTACATATCCCAATAAGATATTATTAATGTTAATATTTTTCAATTCTTTGTTTATGGAATCAAGTGCGAGGGTAATATCGGAGGTCACAGAGGTCAGAGTTTATGGGAAAATTTTACTCGATCTTACCCAGGTATCTCTCTCTCTCTCTCTCTCTCTCTCTCTCTCTCTCCACATCTCTCTCTATCTCTCTCTCTCTCTCTCTCCATCTCTATCTCTCTCTCTCTCTCTCTCCCTCTCTCTCTCTCTCTCTCTCTCTCTCTCTCTCTCTCTCTCTCTCTCTCTCTCTCTCTCTCTCTCTCTCTCTCTCTCTCTCTCTCTCTCTCTCTCTCTCTCTCTCTCTCTCTCTCTCTCTCTCTCTCTCTCTCTCTCTTTCTCACATTTTAGTAATTTAATTATTGTAATTTGCTTTATTGGCTTTTGTCTTCCCCTCAGGTATGTTTCTAAGAATAAGTCCTTCAATTTTATTAACTTAATCTTTCATATATCCTCTAATTTCTTAGAACGGATTACAAGATTAGAGTTTAGAATACAAGATTAAAAGATTGATAAACAGAAGTAATTAAATTTAAACAAGAAATTCTCATTGATCCTTTCACAATCATGAAAGCAATATTCAAGATAATTTAACTTGTAAATCTTCAAATTAATTTATAGTTGTATAGAACATATAGATAAAATGATGCCACACTTTCATTACTTGAATATTCTTACATTTCAAAGGTGAACATATATCTTATTATTACTAATATTGATTTTAGGTTTATGTATTATCACATTTTCATCTTATTCTTCTTCTTTTTAAATAATATATCATCCATGCATATCTTCATATATGTTTCTGTAAGGTTGCTTCATAGATTAAAAGGTTATAAGAACATGAGAGAAACCATAGGACAATTACAGTTCATATAAATCTTTGCATGAATGACTAATGTACAGCTCCATCGATCCTTTTTTTGAGAACTTTCAGAAAGGATATCTGGTGGCACCAACGCACTCATCGCAAATGATTTCTTCAATCGCTTCGAGGTATATATCAATTTGATGATAATGGGATTTTGGATTGCTTTTAGCATGACTTATGAAGAATCGATCTTTTTTAGTTAATTTGATTCATTATCGAAATTTCTTTTTCTAAATAACTCACAATAAAAATAACACATATTCCAAACCATGGCAACTGGATTAGAAATTAACAAGTTATTCATTGCTAAGATGATCCAATGATGTACATTAGATAAGCTAAATTCCTCACTGGTAAAGAATTTTGAAATTCTTTACTGTCGTGAGATTATTTTTGGTTAGTGTACTAGAATAAAAAACAGATACAAAAGAGAAAAACAAATTTTATTGGAGAGAGACATAAGTATACAATAAATCTGTTGCTACAATAATTTTGATATAAACTTGTGTCCTGCGGTATAAAGGAAGGACGTGTCTACAATCTTTATCTCTCGTCTTCATATATTAAGTAACAAAGCTATCTAAAAACCGCAAACACATGCTCACGCGCACGAGCTCACACACAAATACATGTATCTTCATCTCCTTTGATACGCTAGTTTTTCCACCAACTTTATAGTAAAAATTGACTGCAGCGCAAGTAGGGTTTAGAAACAGAAAACTAAAGTTTAATCTCGTTAAAATCCAATGAATACATGTAATAATGAACGTGAATGCCATACCGTTACAGAATGATCTTGAAATATTGGAGGACATGCATATGGATGCTTTCAGATTCTCTATCAACTGGGCCAGATTACTTCCCAGTAAGTATTAGTTAGAGATAAGGAACAGTGAAAGGATGTGCATTTATTTATTTGTTGACACGTTTTTACTTTTAGTTTTCTCAAAAAAAAATATTTAATGATATTCAGGTGGGAATATAAGCGAAGTGAACCCGCATGGAATTGATTTCTACAACAAGGTCATCAATGAAAGCATAGAAAACGGTTTAAATCTTCTCCCTCTTAGAATAAATATGCAATTTCTGTTGTTTCATGGGTGCTGCTTGAATCTTCAAAATAATTTGTTAGGAAATGTGGATCATAGTCAAAAGAACTCAGAAAATTACTTGCATGGCTATCTCAAGCATATTGAACCAACTATTTGGTAACTTCTTGAATTGATCCGTGTGAATTTGATTTCATAACATGAAAATAAAACAAAAGGGGATCAAAAAACTAAATCATTTTTTTTCCAGAGGGTAAAAAAAAAAATTCACAATATGATTTGAGAAGATATCTAAAAGCCGCTCTCATGTTTTGAGGGTAAACTTCACAGGTTTAGAGCCTTTCGTAACTATCTTTCATTGGGATAGTCCTCAAGCACTTGAAGACAAGTACGAAGGGTTTCTAAGTTATCAAATTGTGTAAGTTATCACCTTTTATCACATATTGTGTTCCATCATCATATAATTCAAAAATAGAAGCCAAGCATTTGTATTTGTAAAATTATGATATGGAATTGTAACATAGAATTTCTGTTCTTTTAATTGATTTATAGGAACGATTTTCGAGACTATGCTGACCTTTGCTTCCGGGAATTTGGTGACCGAGTGAAGTACTGGATTACTTTAAATGAGCCACAAAAGTTCGCCACTGCTGGCTATGATACAGGTGACTTTGCACCGGGCCGATGTTCCAAATGGGTGAATGAAACGTACTGCAAAAAAGGAAACTCTTCCACTGAGCCTTACATAGTTGCCCACCATCTCCTCCTTTCTCATGCAGCAGCAGTAAAGACATACAAGGAAAAGTATCAGGTATCCATGAAAGGCACATTTTTAATGGATAGAGTACTATTTATTAATCCCTATGAACAATATATTTAGGCATCCCTTTGTTTATTGAAAATGTAGGCATCTCAAAATGGGAAGATTGGGATAACATTCAATACCCCTTGGTTCGAACCCTATTCTAACAGTACGGATGATTATGATGCTACCAAAAGATCTCTTGATTTCTCGCTTGGTTGGTATGTATTTCTCCAAAAATATAAGGTTGTAGCTAGCTGCATCTTCTATAATTATTTTCATTAATTATCTCAATAATATAATTGCTTGGTAGTTGCTTAGTAGTCCTTGTGATAGAATTTGGAAGCTTCATATCAATTTCATTTGTATTACTGCTCTAATCCAAAAGTTGGTCTCCTTTAGCATCATATTTCCTGTCAGAAGACAGTAGTAGATAGTTTAACAAAGCAGAAGAATTTATTTAGACTTTTGGCTTGAATTTAAATTGTGGCACTTTTGTATCCTGATGTTGGAGAGTCGATATTGTCTTGTTGGCTCTATTTGTTTCAATTAATCTAGATTTTCGTAAGAAAAAAACTAAATTATTGTATAACTCATAACAACATTTCATGTTTCTAGGTTCTTGAATCCTATAACATATGGTGACTATCCGACCAGCATGCGGGAATTGGTTAAAGAAAGATTGCCAAAATTCTCTTCACAAGATGAAGTGAATGTAATATTTGACTTTGTTGGATTAAATTATTATACTGCATATTATGCAGCAAATGCAAATCCTGCTGACCCAGATCATCTTAGATATCAAACAGATTCTAATGCCATAATTCAAGGTAGGAATTTTGTCATTTTAGTGAATTTGATGCTGAGGTTATGCCCTGCGGGTTTAAAGCAAGCTGGGGTTGTTATAACATAATTTCACCTTGTTGTTCTCATCATACTTTTTCAGCAAAACGAGATGGGATCCCCCTCGGTCCACAGGTTTGAATGAAAATGATACGTTTTTTACCCAATTTCTTTAGACATTTGATAGTTATAACTAAGCTTCATATGTGACAAATTGCAGGCTGGTGCACCATGGCAGTATGTCTATCCAGAGGGGATAAAATATCTTTTGAATCACATCAAAGACAAATACCAAGATCCAGTAATTTACATAACCGAGAATGGTATTATAATAAGCTTTGCAGATTAAAATGGAGATCTAGTAAGATTTTAATGGCCAAACTCGTTAATTCTTCGTCTCTTTCATATCTTTCTTCTATTTAGGGTACAGCCGCGTGCTTGCTAAATTTTCAGATTCTGAAACCTTGGATGATAGTCCAAGAATAACATTCCATTATAACCATCTGCAGAATATTCTAAAATCTATCAAGTGAGTTTTCCTATAGTATAATTCCACGGTTTTAATTTCCTTTCTTTGTTGATTTTGCATTAAATTAAAAGTTAGGGCTCAAATAATGATTTAAATAAATTAAAAGACCAAACTCTTAACATTTGAACTGATCATTTTTGCAGCGATTATAAAGTTAAAGTCAAAGGTTACTTTGCATGGACTTTCACCGACGACTTTGAATTTACAGATGGATACAACGTAGGATTTGGTTTGGTGCACATAAACCGTACAGATAATTTAACAAGACAGATGAAGCGCTCAGCAACCTGGTTTTCAGAATGCCTTGTGAAGAACTGAGCTGATCCCGACGGTTTATTTCAAGCGATTAAGACTAGCTTGATGGATGGGAAAGAGTTAATTTGGCCAATATA